AAACTTAGAGGATTTGGTTTATTGACAACCTCAAGTGGACATTTTGATTTTTTTTAATTTAAAAAATCACCGAACATAACAATTGCTAATATTTTAAACATTTTCCTGAGAAAAAAAATATCATCTTTGTGTATCGTGAACATGAATTAGTAAAGCGATTCATGTCTAATCTCTAAGTCGATTTTATATTTAATCAAGTAATTTCGTTAGTTTTATATCCTAAATTAAGTGATAATCTGAAGGTGTCAAGTCTGGAGAAAATACTGTATGAATGAATCCCAACAGAAAAAAAAATACATGGCAGCTACTTATCAAGCGAATGTCGACTCAAACTCGCCGACCGGAACCTAATTCCATATAAAAGTAAATCTTGATGTTTTCAACATTCGTTTATTTTTCCCTCAATATCCCCACTCAAAGTTTCTGCTCACGGTCACGTATTATATGTCTATAATATCCTTTACATCTTGAATTCAGTCCGTTCTCTAGTTACGGAGGGCGGAAATGATAATCAGCGCATAAATTTATTTAAAGTTTCCCTGAATCTCCCACATAAATTGAAAATAAATGGAAACTAAACGAAGGATGATGCCCCAGATGATAGTAGAGGCTAAAAAGAAAAGGGGGCGGGGGTACTTTTTTACTTCTTTCTAGCTCTGTCATCAATCAAAGTAATGTAAATTCGGCCTCGCCCATTTCTTCAATCAAGATATATGGTCGACATAACTACTCAGTCTTTTAGAAACGAACAGCTATTTAAAACATTCACTATGTTAATCTTTTTTCAATTCACTTTGCTCACAGATCTTTTCAATAAAATAACTGAATTCTTCATCTTATTTAACGTAAAAAAGTATCAAGCCACCAATTCTCAATGTTAACTATATTTAACCACAAAGCCAAATCGGAGGAAGTGAGACGAAGAGAATTGAAGTAACACAATCTTCCAACGGCGAGAATTTACCTCCCAAGAAAATCAACATACAAAATCCTGGATTTTACCTCGACTGGAATATCAAGACCTGGTCCCAGTGAGAATTAGACCATGTTATTTAGTAAGAATGTATGTCTCAAGGCGTATAAATTAATTACATCAAACCCAGTTTAAAGATAACGGCATTCAATTGCTGAAACCTCCTGAAGAGTGGGTTGAACAATTACGTGAAAGTTTGTCTACGAAACTCTGGAGTCGAGGTGCTGAATATAACATAGATCATCTAAGTGACAAATGTTTGCATTAATCCTATATATATATATATATATATATATATATATATATGTGTGTGTGTGTGTGTGTGTGTGTGTGGCACCCCGTAAGTATATAACTCACGATACTAGCAATAAACAGGAGACCAGATGTCTAAAAACTGGTTCACCGCGATACTAAAAACAGATAATAGTTTCTTGAAGCAAAATTAAATATTATTTTTTTAAATCATTTGGAGAAAATATTTTATCGCTGGTCATTTCACTTTGAAGAGTATTTTTCACGCCGGGACACAGATTGTTGGAAAAAAGCCCACACAATTTTTGGCTGAAGGAAAATTAGGTTAACTTTTCAACGACCGAGAACCTCTAATTTCGATTTATTTTGCTGCAAGGTCTAACGTTCTTTGAGAGTTGGTTTGGTTAATATTAGGTTAATGCAAAAAGTTCCGACATTTGTCGACAGAATCTTTTATTCATATAAATTCAAAGCATCATTATTCAGTCAACAAAATATTTTTTTCTGGCTGTCTCTAGAATTACGCCTAAATTCAACTAAATTGTGTATTCTGTGACAAAAAAAAATTCTAGATTTGATTCAACGAATGCTTTATATCTTAGTAAAACCGCTGAGCCGACTAGGATTGTGACAGAGCAAAACAAATGATTGAGAGATTTGAGGAAAATGCCACCAGTAGAACAATCTTCTATCCCAGCTCCATAATCATTGGCTTTGTCCCTTTTGATCGCAGGAATGGACGCTGTCGTGTTGAAAAATCACCAATTCCTTGTCTGAAAAAGTTTTTCTTTTCCAATTTCAACAGGGTATTCCAATGAACCACTTGTTCACTATGATGTTGTGCTATAAAAATTTATCTTGGTTTCAACAAGTCGAATGCGCCTGCTTTTCTTGAAAATCAGCATTTGCAATGTTTTCTGTCATCAATGTTCAAAAACAGAACTCTGAAATATACGTAACTGTGGTTTTCTACCTAAGGAGTGACATTGTGCATATAATCCTTATTATAATTTTCGATTTCTATTAGTGGATACCTTAGTGTAACAGAATTATGGGACTTCGTAGCGCGATTTCTATTAGTGATATATTGTTAGAATGCTCTGAATTGAAAAATAAGAGTTTTCATTTCATTATGCAACTTAATAATGGTATACCTGTATTAGTATGATCCGATTTTTTAAGGAAGATAACTCCACGTACATTAAATGCTATTTATAGAATATTTTTCGGTATTTAAGTATAATATACATTCTATAAATATAGAAATAAATACAAAGTGACCTAATATCAGGCTTAATGGCCGTTGATGCTGACTTTTAAGTGAGTAATTATTAAAAAAATTATAAAATTACGTTTTTTTTTTTATTTTTCATGGAATGCTTGCTTTGAAGATTTTTTTGTTAAATGGGCGGGCAATTTAGATGAAATTAAATTTTGTTTGCATTGTAATTTAATTATGTTATAACCTCAATTCATAATAATAAAACAGAGCATGAAATTTTATTCCCTCACTCTCTCTCTCTCTCTTTCTCTCTCTTCACATGCACACACACACACACAAATACACACACATGTGTTTGCTTACATATATAAGCATCAAATGAATATACAGTCACTTAATCTGGATTAACAACCTCAATAAGTCACTTAGTGAGAATCAAACTAGCAACACTAATGAATAGTGTGCAACACCAATTTGCTAATCATGAACATACGGCGGACGGGAGATATGAACAAAGAAATCTTTATTCAAAAAAGCCGAATATAGAAAATGAAGAGAAAACAGACTGTACTTCACCGATTTTCTACTATGGCGAATGCTTGCCGGTCTGCCTACTTTTAAAATTGTGTTTTTTGATGTGCTTTGTTTTTGTTTTTTGTTTTTTGCTTGAACTCTGAGCACTGGCTCCACTTGGAAATACGTAGTTGTTCCAAGCACGAAATAATCCTATATGAGTCGGATAGATAGATAGATAGATAGATAGATAGATAGATAGATAGATAGATATACATACATACATCCAATTTGTTTTCTGTTATGAAGAATATTTTGCTCGACGTAAAGTATTCGTCAGAATCTTTTATTTTTCCTGCTTCCAACGAACAGCAAAGAATTCCGCCACACCTGTAGATAGGACAGATGAGCTCAAAACAGATAATGAGTAGATCAAAATAAACAGACAGGTACCCATTTTACCTCATTGATACAAACCTCACCCTGTTACCGCGAACACACCCAGCCAGTTGTAAATTTCATTATTCTTTGGGCGGCGGCTGATACAAAATTAGCCTTCATTTGTCACAATTTCAACAAAAGTATGTTTACAACGCAGTTACATTTTACGATGTCATATCAAAATTGTTATCATTTTGCAAATCCATTTTTGCTAATGATTTTCATGTGCCATGTAGTTCTATTCTACTTTTTTGTAAAATGTCACCTCTTTTCAGGAGGTAGACAGGCATGACCCTCCATTATTTCCTCTTCTGCAATATCTGTAAACATTACCATAATTATTCTTTGAATTTACAACATTTCTTTCGCATAAACTGATTTCTTTATCAAGGCTAAGCAACTTAGTCTGTTGTACTATTTCATCCATAGCCAATGGGGGAAGAATTGGTTTCATACCTTTCCCAAATCCATTGTGAGAAGTCAAAAAATATGCATATGTGTGCTTCGAAAGTTCTTCGTTTGTATATTATTTGAATCATTTCACCCCTGGCAAGCCAATCAAGCCACTAAGATGCAAGGGCTGAGTGTAAAAGAAACTGAAAAAACGATGCTGAAGAGAAAGGGTAATATAAAGAACATGATTTAAGAAAACAGAAAATATTTTTGAAGAACGTAGTTAACAGAAAAGCAAGATGTCAATAGAAAATTCCATAGGTGAAAAATGCAACAGAAGGAACTATTAGAATAGAAGTTACACTGACACTTAGCAATTTAAACAGTAGGATGATGAGATTTGGTTACTAATCTACTATTATGCTTATACTCATCAGCTGTGACCAAACTGCCGCAAGTGAGCCACATACAGCCCTTTGATATGTTGCCTCATAACAATATGTCGACTGGCTCAAGCTTTATAATTATTTCTACTATTTATTATTTCAGTTTTATGTTATAGAGATGCAAATTTGCATATTTTTCTCACTTGTTCCAGAACGACGTATGCACAATTTAGTTAAAAACAATTACCAGTGAAGATTATGAAAACATATCGTAGATATATGTACTTCGTGATTACTGAAATTAATACAAATTAACTAAAAAATCTACACATCATTAACAAATATTACATAAATGGATTTTTTAATGTTCATATAAAATACTTGCAAGAAAAAATAAATTTTAGTTGTTCCGGCTCAGAAATAATTTTATTATTATTATCAACTTATCATTTATTTTTATATTAAGCAATTTGGCCAACCCTGATATCATATTTCTAGAATGATCTTACTTCTTTAGAATTGTTCCTTCAGATAAGTGAGTAAAAAGAATCTCACTTTAGAATATATCTCTTTACTCTACATAATAATTTATCCCCAGACACGATTACACGTTCAGATGACAACGATATATTCATTCATGTGATATGCAGGCATTTACTAAAATTAACTTCTTTAAGGGGTTGTCTTGCAAGGCTCGAACTCACTGGCAATTTTTTGTGAGAAAATCCACACTTAGAGCAACGGTGGAAATCTTTGATTATTATTATTATTTTCCTTTCTTCTTTTATTGGACTTAAGAGAGCATCAATAGATGTGCACAATGTCTGAAAAAGTAACACACACGCACAAACACACACACACATATATATAGATATAGATATTTGTGTGGGTATGCGTTTGGGTGTGTAGGGAATATGCATAAATTAATTACCCTATTTAAAAGTTTGTGAATATTTTCAATCTGAAATAACCTAGTAGTTCTAGTCTCTTATCTAAAACTTCCAAATTATCATCGAATTCTGAACCATTGGTCAATCTCTAAAGCTTAAAACAATAAAAAAATTACCAAGATTACTATTAACCAAATTTCTCACTTTCTCTTTCTTTGTCTCTCTCTCTCTCTCTCTCTCTCTCTCTCTCTCTCTCTCTCTATCTATCTATCTATCTATCTATCTCTCCGTCAATTAATCTCTTCTTTCTTCCTTCCCTTTTAAATTACCAGCTAACTCTATGTATGTGAACGGTGTTTGAGAGCTTTATATATCTACATACGTTTTCCCGAAATCTTGGGTGGCTGTAAGGAGCATCAATGAAATAAGGCTAATATGGGTAAAAAAAAGTAAAGGAAGAACCTGGGAAAGGCAAATGGCAGCGATCGAGAAAAGTAGTCTATAAAATGGATGACAATTGGTTAAAGGCATATTTTCCTGATCTGTTTTAATTTATTGTTGTTATATGGTTCGCTTCTCTTAATTTCTTCTTTTTTTTTATTACAGGCATATGATGTGGGAACAGGTAAGAGTTACGGCAGTTCGTCGGCAGGGGGATATAGCTACGGTTCGAGTTCGGGCCTTGGCTCGTCTTCCTACGGTTCGTCTCCCCGGAGCAACTATGGCAGTGTGGTGAAAGACAAAGTAAAGAAATTCTCAAACTATGAGAACAATTACGGAACAGGTTCCTCCGGTGGGGGACGTGACCGATACCCGTCCCTAGATCGCAGCACCAGTTATTCAGCGAAAAGCGGCACCTCTGACCATTACGGGAAATCCGGGTACATGTCCGACTACGGAGGTAGCACGCGATCTTCATACAATTCATGGGACCGTACTTCCAATCGTTCCGGTCGGAGCTACGGAGGTGTCTCCATGCCTCCGAGCAGAGAGGGTTCACCCTACAGCAGTCGTTCGTCCAAGTAAGAATTGTCTTTTTCATTAATCACATTTCTTTTTTTTTTTTTTTTTTGATAAAATATTTTTATAATTTTTTTATAAATTCATTACATTTCCCATGCTTTCTGCTACAGTACTCCAACATTCATTTAATTTTCCATAATAAAAGAACTATTTCAGTTACCTTCAATGTATCGAAATCGCCGGTTAGAGAAAAAGTGAAACAAGCGATTGTCTGAAGGTGAAAGGTTTGGAAAATACGTCACTTGTAAAAAAAAGTTCCATCATCCTTTGTTTTATCCCATTAGGAACACAAACAATATGCATTGAAATTACCGTTCGAATTGCTCGCCCAGAAAGAGTTTTCTTTTCCCACCGTTTGTCCTGCTTCCAACAATTCGTTATAATGAATTTACTTTCAATCCTACCAAACACAAGAGGATTTGTTTCTCTAGGGGTTGAAATGTTGAAGTCTATTCTGGACCTAGCGACGAATTTTTCGTATTAAATTCTTGTAATAACTGTAAATGCTGAATGACGTACGAGCAATACCAAGATGAAGAAACTTCGAAGTAACCTCTAGAAATTCGCTGACATTGCACAAAACTTACACTAAAATAAAATAACAATCTCATTTAATTTTTACTTTCTTTGTTTATTCTTTATTTAATTTTTACTATGTGTTTGTTTTCCTTGTTGAAAAAACGGAACATTTTTTAGATTTTTATTAAGTTTAGCTTCAGAAGGTCACAATGAGCGAGCTGCCAATGAAAGATCGAACTCACTAAACGAGCAATGGTTAAGTGAGACCGACTTTCTATGCAACTCTCTAACAATATGCTCCATTAATATATATATATATATATATATATATATATATATATATATATATATATATATATATATATATATATATATATTACTATTTACAGCAATAATGTTACGGGAAAATAATGAGGCCCAAAACAAGATAGATATAACCAGATTGTAATATTACAGAGAGAATAGTGAGAATGACATACAATGAAAGAAAAGAGAAAGAAGACTACAGGCATAACAAATTTCCTTATGTTTGCGTTAAAGAAAACGAAGAAATACCTTTTCTTCATATCAAAATTTCTTGTGTAGTCTTCACTCTCTGAAAACACAATTTTAACCCTTCCGAAATTAGAACTGTCTATTATCCACTTCAGTCAATCAATTTAAATCTGGCAACACGTGTCAAATAGGAGTCATTGGAACAGGATAGACTTTCTGATTGAAAATTGATCATTACTGTTTGTTAAATTCTGCATATATCAGGTACACAATTAGTGGAGGAATGTGTTTCTACCTTCTGTGTACCGAAGAATTGATAAATATTCATTTGCGAGCACCGATTGTAGTCAAGATGATTTTCTTCTCTTCATCATCCTTGATAAAGGAAGCGCCAATAATGATTTTTTGATTTTCCAATCAAGACTTAGCAATGAATGGAAGCTACATTTATTTGAAAATGAGGTCAAGACAAAAAAGATCATCTTTCAGCGTCAGATCGACCACTGAAAGCTAGATTAGTAAGATTTTGAACTGATGTAAACGATTTCAAATACTTATCTTTAAAATAAATCGAGTTTATCTTCGGAGATTGGTGATTACAGTCATTCTAAATCAAAGTATTCAATAAATTCATGGCCTTATAAACAATTTAATCCTAAAAATAAACCTAATTTTTTTTCACTGACACACCTACACTACTACAGCCTACCTCATGGCCAAAATACCTGCGTATTTCCTTCCAGAACTTGTGGTTGTTGTTTGAAAGAAGACAACAGCTGGAATTTCAAATTTCGACTTTTCCTGAGCGGAAAGACGCAGCCCATTAGAACATTGGTGTAGCAAAATCTTTCTACTCACCATTTAGTTTTAATATCGACAATCTCACACTATTTCTACCTAGAGGCAAAACATTAGTTGATAAATCGATTCTCATGCATGATCCTTATTTCTTTTTGCTTGGGCTGATCATTTTTAACTATAGCTTTTCTCCCAATGATATTTCTTGTTTTTCTTCGGGTTTATGCTGTATTTGTTGAATGCAATTGATTTCCATTTAAGGAAAAGTTTTAAATATCTGGTAGTCCTAGAATCTCTAATATATTTGATAGGTTGGATTGAACTGAAAAGTTCTTGGCTGAACATATCAATGTAACTCATCAATGCTAAACATAGTCAACTGAAAGAAAAACACATCACGAGATTTATGTATATATGTGACATGGTGCTTTTTTCCTTTATGAATACGTATAAAAGAAAAATCAGCTACCCATGTTGATCAGCCAAACAATCAGCAACCGTATGAGTTGGACAGAAGAAATTTAACTTCGAAATATCTCTTATCCTCCGTTCAAATTATCATTGTTTTTGCTAACTAAATCCAACCAAGAACCAAGAATATTGAACATGTTTAGTATGATCGCGATCGCGAATCCCGTGACCCATTAGGGTCGTAGGGGTACCACATGCACTGCACTGGTGTTTCTTGGGCGGTTTTGAATTCAGAGTTTCCTTCTCCTAGACCGGTTGCTACACATGGCTATTTACCTATAGCAAGGGGTGAGGAGAAGAGGATTCGTACCTTACATAGCACGTAAGTGAATGTAATGGATCCGACTGGAATTCGAACTCGGCTCTCCGCTTCCCCAATCCGAACTGTTACTTATTACCCCACCGTGTACAAAGCCACAAACATGAACGACCTAAAGAATCAAAACTACAGTAGTAACGGTCTATCCCATCAAAAATATATACATATGTGTATGTGTGTGTGCGTGTGCACGGGCGTAGTTATAAGTATTTACTATAATCATTGAGTCTTTTCTCTTATGACTGATATATTACTCTCTACTCCCTCTATTTTTCGCTATTTTTCTCTGTCTTTCCAATGATGCTGCACGCATTCATCCAACCGACCCAAAATTTGGCACCACGGATGCCCATATATGCGATGCTAGCACCAGAGTGAGGTGGCAGCTGTGAAATCTGATCTTCCAGTGAGTGGGTGTCTAAAATTGTTCTGTTCAAAGCTAGGCTGAGTCAATCCAACTGCAACCGACTGATAGATACACACATGCACATCTATCCATCACCCGCCTCTACAAATGTATATATTTATAATTATTTATAGTCATGCGTACACATACGTTTATCTCAATATCTACTTCTACTTATCTCTCATTCTCTTGAGACAAAAAGGGAAATAAAAGCGCAACTTACACACACGCGCACATTTAGTTGATCAACTAGTATACATATATGCACGCCCGTGCATGTGAATGTGTGTGAGGTTGTTCCTTTATAAATTTACGCACCTAGGTAAATAGGGTAAATTTATAAGAGATCATGGTGAGACAAGATGGTCTCGCTGATTATATCACTAAATGTATTAAGGTCGATCCTAAGTAGATATCTCATTTGTGCCTATTTCCTGAAATAGTTATTTATTTCCCAGGCAAAAGCCATGTACCCAGGCAAAAGCCATGACTGTTGATTTTCATGGTAAGTTAGGTAAGTCTTACTCATTTGAAAGACTCGCGAAACACAATCTTTCTGTCCCACATTTCTCCCCATTTAGTTTAGCGTATTGAGCTGAATTTAGTAACTATCGATGAAAATGCCGATTTGGAAAGAGATACGCGCAAATACTCACATCTCCACACTCGCTTACACGCACGTACGTACACAGAAAAAAAGAGAAACAGAATCAGCATTTGGGGTTCGAATTCCAATTGAGGTAGTTTATGTTTTCTTTGCACTACTAACCTTGCAAATAGCATGCTGTCATTTTTCCCGCTGTTCATTCCCATTGCTAGTCATCTTAAAAATTCTCTCCACTCTCATGCCACGATAGTTGACAAAAAAGACAGTGGGTGAGCACTTGTACAAACTATATCTATCTTATCAGACAGTAATAACAATAAATAACTGTTACATCCATTGTCAACCTTGACTAAAACCAGTCATTACAATGATACAATATTGCCTACTGAAATATTCTTCTCTCCTCCATGGATAACATTTTCGAATCATCTAAAGAAAATCGAATGAACGATTTCGTTTTGTTTTGTATATGAAAGTCTAGAGCAATGATTCTGAGATCAGAGAGAGAATTGCAATTCTACCTTTGGATTCAGACAGTTTTGGAAAAGAGGAATGACATGGGCTTTTTTGCGTCAGGCAAAATTGTTGTGAGATTAAAAAGGGTAAAAATGTTGAGTAATCTGGAGAATGATAATAGCAACAAAAAGTTGATTTAAAATAATTTTAGCAAGAAATTGTGATATTCAGAATATAAACAATTTCTTGATAATATACATGTAAATATTCATGAACATATTTAGATATTTACTAAGCTTAATTTAGTGTGGTATAAGTCCACAAATTACGAATAAATTTTTTTGCGCCGAACTTCCTAAGAAAGAAAACCTATTTAGTGTTTACCCACAAAATCAGAAATATTGGTTTTTACCTAAGTTTGAATAGCGACGACTGATACCTGTAAGAAATAAGCAACTGCTTCAGACAGCAAGTATTTATAGGGATTTATACAGAAATTAGTCTAATTTAGGATTTTATAATGTAATCGTTTAAAGTCCACAAATTATTATTATTAAGTTGCAAATTACATTGAAAATTGATTTAGTATTCAAGTTAGGGCAAGTTAACAGTATTACTCTAACAGAAATCACGCTACGATGTGTCGTTTTTGCTGTTATGGGAATAAAAATAAAACAAGCAGAGATCGAATCGATAATGCAGACATAACTGCTAATTTATAATTGTGAAGAAAAATAAATGTATATGTGGTTATGTGTGTCTAAATGCGTGCGTACATGTATGCGTGCGTGTGCATGTCCGCTTGTGTACATATGTATATGTATACTTGTGTTTGTTCGTATGCATGCGTGCGCATGTACAGATAAAAGAAAGCCTCTTTTTGCCAGAGAATTGTTATCTCCACGATTAGCAAAAGCACCTGTATCTC